GGAAAATTATTCTGTACAGTGAGTAGTGTGCCATCTCTAATTCTGAAATACTTTATAAAAACTCTGTAAGACCTCCCAAAAATGCAACCATGTCTCTCCATTACTCTCTACATCCTCCCAGAGAGGTTCCCACTGCCCCATACCCAGAAGAGGAGCTCTGAGCTGCAGCGCACAACTCCAGCTGGGGACCATGCTGGAAGAGGTGACCAGGCAGTTCAGACCTGGCCCTGCAGGCTCAGCCATCTTTTAAAGCATCTCTGTAGTTCATCAGAGAACTAAGAAACCATGCAGTGGATCGCTATGACTTTAATATCTGCTGCTGACAAAATCACTGACGTACTCTTCCCTTTCTGGTTTTGTCCACATCTCGAGTCTCAGTGACAACTGGCAGAAGAAATGGTTAAAAAGGAAACATGAAGAAGAAAGCAGAAGCAGGTAAAGGTGGTTTAGAGTCAGGAATTTTTTGCTTTCTATATTTTAGTTTTTCCCTTTTCTCTTACTCCGGTAGCCACCAAATGTTCATAACACCCTGTTAAACTGCTCCTAGGATAAAAAAGAAACCAGTAGCCCTTCAAAATCCTCCCAGATACATCAAGTAATTCTTGAGAGAAAGTCATTGATATAATCCAAGATGACTCTCATATCCTCACAGGAAAATAGGAATCATAAAATGGACTAATACATTATAAGTTTTACCACTGAGTTCGTCCTGTTATGATAGCAGAAAATCCTAGAAGCCCAACAAGAAGCTGCAGTGCCCCTGAAAGCCAAACTAACGAACCTTTCGCAAAGTGATTTGACCAAAATTAGCACTGAAACCAACAAAAGCTTCTGCCATGTACTGCACTGCCATCTTCCTGCCACAGGCAATACCCGTTCCCCATGGACAATCCCTGTGGCTGTGCTTGGGTTTTTTCAGTGCGTGGAGCCAGTTCCATTCCTTTTGATTTCGATACGATCGACCCTGGAAATATATCCTTATTTTGCCCACCCTTTCCAAAGGCGAGATAGGAGTAAGGCATATTTTTGGACTTTAACATATAAAGTCCATAACTACTACATCAAAACTCTTGCTAGTAACTGAGATGGTTCTTTGTAGAAATATCCAGCTTCTCCAACTAGCTTTCACAGTGATGCAGTCAGAAATACTGAATTATTCATAGTTCATTAATCCATCTAAAAAAAATCTCAGCTCTTTTATAATTCTCATTGGTCACTAACATGTGCCTAGAATTGGGAAGCTCTCACTAAATAAATATATCCTAATTATGAGTGGATATATAAAGATATACATATATAAGTAGAGGTATACATACACACACAGAAATAAAGTTGGATGCAATAACCTGACACTTCAAAAAAGGTAAGCTTAATGGATAGTCTTTAAGTGGGCTAACCCTTACAAGTGCAAGGAAAAAAAACCGAACATGAAAAGGCTCTTGTCCTCCTATTTTCTATTATAGAAAATAACAAATCATTGTATTACAATAATTACTTTAAATGCATTGAAAAATAAGGTTATAATTTTGCAGAAGTATTTTCTCTCAGGAATTCTGCAAAGCCTTACCAAACTCCAAAGATTTTGTTTCTCCTTTATTTGACAAGGCTTTGATGGTCTGTGTTAGGGACCCTGACTTGATCAGTCCCCAAAGGACAGAATACAAATCACAACTGCTGCAGCAGGCAAAAAATAGGTATGCAAAGCTCTTGAGATTGACTTTCCTGCACAATTTGCTGTCCTTCTATTTCTGTTCTAAGAGAGAAATATTGCCATAACACTCTTCTATGAGATTTCTGCTCTTTTTTTGTAGTTCTAATTCTGTGAATTAGTGGAAAAAATCTTAAATATGGCAGAATAAAATAAGAAAAAAACAAGAGACTCCCAAACTGACACAAACAGCCATTAAAAAAAAGATATTAAAAAAACCCCAAACCAAACCAAGAAAACGATGCAAATCTGCATTTGATAATCTATATGTAAAATTGGCCTGACACCCTATGTTCATTTTCCTCTTACCAAATACTTCATATCAGAGAAAGCAGGATCACACATAATACCTTTCCTGTCAGTGCTGTTGCTTAATTAGTCAACATCATATGAAGCTTACGATAAAAGTAATTGAGTTGGGCCTTTCAATTTCTGAAGAGAGGCATCAACACATAGGATATTCTCACAAGTTTCACATACTGTGAACAGAAAAAGGGGTGCTGAGGTATTCTGCAGAGGACTATACAGGACTTTGGTCTCAGACTATAAATGCTACTTAGTCATAGTGCACACTTCCATTTTTTGGAAATGTTTATAAAAAATTGTTAACATATAAACATATATGTAAATTTTAACTAGCATTCCTATTATGTGGCACTTTTTTTCAACGATGACGGTTGGCATACAAAACTTCGAAAACTTTTTTCTCCCATGCTCCCCTGAACAGCCAAGGGAAAAACATATATGACATGTAATACAGAACCTCTGCATTGCAGGTGCAACAGATATACAACAGTGACAAAGAATCAAAAAAATCCACCAACAAGACAGTAATAGAAAGTAATTGGTTAAAAACATTTTTCTACAAACGACAGTATTTAAAATATTCTGCACACAGTTTTTCTTCATCTTGATCCTCAGGGAGAAGTCAGACTTCTCTCTGATGCTTTGTCTTCTTATTTTCAAATGCATTAGTCTCTAAGCTGAAAGCAGGAAATTGGTAAGACAAAAATATATTGTTGATGTTTTCCATACATTAATATGAAACAATCAAACCTGTATTACAGCACTGATGTTTTGAAATCTCTACTTTTAAATTTGCATTAGATTACCAAATATTACTACTTTTTAAATTGACAAAAGTGTAAGTTGAAAATCATTTTGTAGACATACCAAAACTAAAGACTTCCATTCAGTTTTCTGATGTGTCACATCTCTTTGTCACTTGTTTTTCATTCTCCGCACGAGGCAGAGTAAGCGATACATTCCAAAACCACTCATTTCCTTACCTCACACAGGGTAAAGTGAAAGATTGAGATACTCTCCCAAGATATTTTTAAGAGAAATACACTCAAAACATAACAACATTCACAGAACAAAATTCAAAAGTACTTAACAAGTTGCCAGTAACTACAGAAATATATGAAGTCACCAAGTCATAAAATCTTGCCATTAGTGGCAATGAAGAATATGCAATCCTGCAAAACATTAAACATGTGGATTACATTTTCCTTATAATAATATTTTATTTATATCCATGAGACTGATTGCAACCTAAGTAATCTGTGTTGCTCAAAAAGAAGACATAGTAACAAAGCAGTTCAGATTCCCAGTGGTGTGACAGAAATATCTTGTTAGACTTGAGGATGTTCTAAGGGTTGGGTTCACACTCAGTTAAAGTTTGGATCCAGCCATCTCTTATCTTGCCTTGTACTCTCCACTCCTTTCCCTTCCCCAGATGACACCATTCATTTAACTTGGATCATTCCCAGAATAATACATAAACTCAGTGGCTGCCAGAATTTGTTCACATAGGGTCTCTCCCGGTGCTGAATTACCTGCCAGGAATCTGGTACATATTCTGAAATTTATATTTCTTTCTGGAGGACTAAGAACTCACTTCAGAAACAGTGCTGGGCAAGAAAGTACTCTTAACTGTACCAACACATTTAAAAAGTACTGTTCGTGCCACCATATTGAAATGAGCTCCCCACATGAAGTGATGGAACTGGGAAGTCAGCAATGCAGTTTCTCTAATAAATAGCTCTATTTTTTTTCGTCTAGTTTTCTTCCTTCTGGCAGCAAATATTGCATGTTTTCCTGTGATAGAATTTTTTATTTTGAACAGAAGAAAATAAATATTTTAGGTCATACTGCTGGAGTTTCCAGCAAACATTTTGTGAGGAATTTTCTCTTTGTCTTGACATTGACATTCAAGATTAGTTCCATTTTTTCTTCCTAATTAGCTTTTCCGAGACAATTGTATATTTGAAATAAACAGAATACTTTCCCTCAGGGCATCAGAAACTTAATCTGTCCAATTTCCTCTCAATGGACATTGAAAACAAAGCAGTGTATTGTAATTCAGTGAGGAATTAAGAACTATGTGATGTAAAAAATGGAAAAAGCACTATATAAATAAATTCAACATAGATGGCAATAAAAATACAGTAATGAAAAATCCTTTAAGCCTCCTCGTTAATACCTGACAGAACTGCCTGTTCATATTAAAGTCTGTTTGTTTGTCAAAGGAGGTTAAGAGACTAAATTTACACAAAACTGAGGATTTTTATATTCCCAACAACACACTGACTGATTAGCATTAAATCATTTGGAATATCTTAAACAATCTGAGGACTTTGCAATCACTTTATCCAGCAGTCTTGTTTGTGACTCAAAAGATTTTTTCTTAAACTTTGATCATTCTACAAAGATACAATCCCTCACAGAACTCTTTATTTTCCTGATATCTGAAATTAAAAAAAAAATCAATAATGCTAAGCATACAATTACAAGATTATGATGATAAACTGTAAAGCTGTTAATGACTTTATAGATGGAAGTTACACTTGTAAGTCTTATCAATAAAAGTAACTGTTGGAGCAGCTTTTAGATTCTGATCAACAAGTCTCTAAGAAAATAATTGCAGGTCTTCATTTAAAAATCATGGAGAATTTAATTGAAAATCATAATCTTTGTGGTGTATTGCATACTAGAAAATATTATATATAGAAAATACTATACAGTATAGCCTACTAGAAAAACAGCTCTACAGAATGTTTTTTTTAGGACTGCTAACACACAGGCTTTCATACATACACCACAGTAATTTCTACCATATCCCATTTGTAGATATGCTGCATACACACATGGGTACACAGGTGTCTGTACTATATATGTATATATACACACACACTTATTATAGAACTTCTTAAAAGTGAATGTGCATCTCATTTCCTGGTAGATTTTAACTTCATCTTGCCTCTTAAACAGAGTTCAGAAAGGTACTTACTGATGTGTAGAGGAAACCTTCTCCATTTAGGGCTATATACAACCCAGTCTTTACACCCTGAATAGCAACAACTCGAAGACCCACTGGTATAAGGTTGAATAACGCTGTGAAGAAAAAACATGACCAGATATAAATATACTATGGTTATTACAATATTCTAATAAACATCATTACTAAAAAGAAAGAACTCCTTGTATATTTTTTTCTTATTTTACAGTTAAGCTAATTCAGAAAATCTTGCTTCTAGTAAAGTTAATCCTTAAATCAAAGTTCAAGTATCTATCTAGCAATAAGTCCTGCAATAGTTCAGTATTTATTTGGCACAAGTGCCAACTAGCAAATACAAAGCACAGAAGACTGGACTGTAATCATTTATGTAGCAGTGCAGACATGAGTATCTCAGGCAATCTGAAAAGAGTCAAAGAGCCCAGCAGTTCCTTCATCAGTGTAGATGGATCATAAGGGTAGTGCTTGTGAGATACATGCAGAAAACATGTCTCTCTAATTCTGGCATGTAGCTTTTTATTTTCTTAAGCATTTTTATGGATTTGGATTAAGACGTACTCTCATTAGGATTGCTTTCAAGAGCTCTGTGATTTCAAATCCAAATTATTTCTTTTTTGCTTTCGTGAATGATATATTTGATACAAGCAGTAGTACGCAGGCCTCAGGTAATGGCAGAGGCTTTTCCTAGTTCAGGAAAACACTGAAATACATGCTTGACTTCAAATGTGCATAAATGCTATAGAGCTGAATAGAACATGTTCAAAGACTGAAATTCTGGGGAAAAACAAAACAAAAAAAACCAACAAAAAACCAGCTAATAGCAGATACCCTAGCAATGGTATATACCTCTGTAACAACAAAAATAGCCGCAGCTTTAATTACTGTCTGAAAAAGACCAGTGTGAAGAGCGGGAGTTTACCAGCCTCACCACAGAATAACAAAAGAAAAAGTGGTAAGAGACACAGATCAATTTTTCCTCTAAAAATTATGCCAGCACACACCTATACTAACTTTACTGACTCATACTAGGAAATCAGATGCAAAGCGCACATCAAACAGTCTCAGAAGAAAAGATCTGGATGAGCCAGAGTTCATGCTAAGTGGTTTTTCACTGTGGATGAGTCACGGATTCACAAGCACTTGGATGAAAACCAAAATTGCAACCCGCGTGTTCAATGTAGGCAGCAAGGACCATAGTTTCACCAGGCTAGGTCTGAGAAACACAATAACGCCTACAGTGAGTTCCTCAAAATTTAGGAAGGACATCCAGAGGTGCGAGCAGAAAATCTACCCTCTGAGGCTATCTAATCAGAATGCAGGGGAAGGGCCAAAACAAGCGAAAAAGGGTCATGTAACTGCAGTGGATAAGTACATTTTCTCAAGGTGTGAAAACTCCTGGTTGGTCAAAGGACACAAAGCCACAGATAATTTATGATGAAGCTGATCAAATCTTTACAACTGAGAAAAAAGCATAGGTTGACTATTAGAATTTAAAGATAGAAGTGGATGGGAAAAAAGCCCCTTTCCTTCTATATTCTCATGCAGAAAAAGAATATGTAACATAAGATCTTTTTAGGAATGTACAAAGCCAGTATAAAGCTGGGAATGGTTGTAGCAGAGAACTTCCTATAGCTGTAGAAAGAAAAATATATTCAAAAGAGCTCTGGAATAACAGAAAACAAATTTATGGATTTACAAAGAAGAATAGAAGAGATGTCATCAGATAAGAATTAGCATAAATACATAGCATTTTCATTTCTGTAGTTTCCAAAAGTCTCCAGCATGCTAGGATCTCCCTGGTAAAATACTGGGTACAGACAAGGTTCCCTCTCTAATTTACACAAGGTAAGTGTAAACCAGTGAAATACGGCACTCATGGACAAGATATCCTAAGAGTATACAGGCTAAACACTTCATGACTTGAGGGCTTTCAAATGTTCGATATAATTTGGAAGTTAAAAAAACCATCAGCCATTACCCTCAAATGAAACAATGTCAAAATCAGCAAAACCAATGTTGTGGGTGGTGGAGGGGGAGTCTGTCACAGCAAAACTATGTTTCAGATGGCAGTTACGTTTGTTTATTTCTAGAAGAAAAGAAATGCCAGGAGGAAACCTGGATACGAACATCATGCTAGAGGGAAGGCAGCAACGATTGAGGGGACACCAGGAAGGAAAAGCAAAGAATACTTGTATAAAGAAAAGAGGTGAACACAAAAGACAAGTCAGCCATGGAAAACTGCTAATGAAAAATAACTCCAAATCATAGTGGTTCAGACAAAACTTCTGGAAGGTAGATATAATTTGCTGTATTACCAATAAAAATAAAGCAGCAAAGCCAGAAAAAACAACCACCACTGAAGGAGAATTAGAGGCCTGTAACATGGCAGTGTTTTATGCAACCTATAAAATCACTAGAGCAGCTTATAGTTGCCGGTGAATTTAGAAAGCACTGAGGAAGGGATATAATGTATCTTTTACTGCCACCAAGTTTTAATCAGTGATTGTCAGAGCTGCTGTAATTAGTCTAAGACCATAAAATCTTAGAGTGTGATCTGAAATGCTGTAATTGTGCACATACAGAATACTCAGAATTTTCCACAAAATCTTTCAGACTTGGGTGACACTAGGGAGGCCAGTCCCATTATTGATTGATACATGCTCAGCAACGTGCTTCACACTGAGGTCAGCAAAACATGCACCAGTAAGGCACAGCATGTGGTTTTTATGTGCTCTGAAGTTGGCCAAAGGAAATTCAATTTCCTCCAGAACCTGGCTGTGCAGTACTCGACTTCCGTGCCCAATTACATATTTCAAACCTTTCTAGGATTCACCTGTGCTATCCCCCACTCTAATAAAAACCTGCCTTGAGAAAAGCCTTCCAGAGTTTGCCGGCATTTCAGGTCTTCACAGCCAAAGCTATGCCCTCACTTGATGAGGGGTGTGAAAAAGAACCATGCCTCCAGCTTCCCTCTATCTTTAAGACAATTATCCAAAACCAAAACTAAGTGGGGAGTGAGGTTCCTGAACATCTTTATGTACCTAAACCCTGCTCGGTGAGTCCACAGATGAGGTGAGAGAGGGAGCGTCCTGGAACAGCCTAGAAAATATAATTCTGCCTGGTGCTCAGTGCTCCCACGCTGCACGCTCAAGTATAAAGCCTTGCAAATCCAACTGTAAATAAGACGTGGGAACATCAAGGAAATCAAGTGAACCAATTGGCAAAAATGGTGTGAGTGAAACCCCTTCTCCTCTTCAGTGCTGAGCCTCTGCACACTCCCTTAGCTCTGCTTTGTATTCCATCTAAAGCAGGACTGTAAAGCAAATGGTTTCTTTTCCTTTTCCTAAGCCAGAAAATGGGAATGGAGGGCAGTTAACAGCAACAAATGGCATGAAAAAAGTTACTGTTTCAGGTGTCATGGAAGGGATTTGCAGGAACAAATTTGAGTTGGATTCTAATCCTCTGAAAGTTTTAGCCAAAGTTATAAACTCCACTTTTTGATAAGTAGTAACTCTGTCCTTGAGCAAAACACAAAACCACCACATTTCTTTTTCCTTTTTTTATGCAATACCTTCTCAGTATATTAACTTGAAATCTGAAATGCCTGAAATCAGATATTTCCATATTCTTGTGAAAGTCTATTTAGGTACCACTGACTTGTAGCTACAAGAAAATTGCCATTACAGATCACTGTTTTTCTCAAGAAGCTTGCTAGAGACCAATTGCTTAAGGCTTATAAACTTGCTGTCTCTTCTGCATGTGCACTGCCCTGGTGTCAGTTAACAAAACTTCCCACAGCACCAAATCTGCAATCACATCAAGACCACTATTTCTTTAATTTATTTCCATCTGCAGGCCTACAGGCAAAAAATGACAACTCCATCAGAACATCTTTTAGACTGGCAATGAGTGCAAGGAGTTTGGTATTCAGAGATCAGTCCACCCATTTCTTATGTAGCAAACCCATTCTACCTGTCTGATGTTACACAAGACGTAATTAAAATGTACTGTTTAGTATGGCTAAACATGGCCTCCAGTGATCCTGTCACACTGACTAAGATTATACTGATGGGGGAAATGGGCTTACCTAACTCCCAAAGGTGATTGTCCTGGTTTTGGGACAGAAATAGAGTTAGTTTTCTTTCTAGTAGCTGGTATAGTGCTGTGTTTTGGATTTAGGATGAGAATAATGTTGACAACACACTGATGTTTTTAGTTGTTGCTAGGTAGTTGTAGTGCCTACACCAAGTCAAGGACTCTTCAGCTTCCCACACCCTGCCAGGTGCACAAGAAGCTGGGAGAGCACAGCCAGGACAGGTGACCCAGGCTGGGCAAAGGGATATTCCCTGCCAAGTAACGTCATGCTCTGGATAGAAGTGGGGAAGCTAGCCGGGAGGTGAGAGCGTTGCTCAGAAACAGACTGGGCATCGGGTTGCTGATTTTTTTCTTTCCACATGTGGTAAGCAATTGCATTTGTGCATCACTTGGTTTTGTTATTATTATTATTACTGTTATTATTATTAATATTATTCCCTTCCTTTTGTTATCCTATTAAACTGTCCTTATCTCAACCCATAAGGTTTTTTTCATTATCTTCCCCATCCTCTTGGGGGGAGGAGTGAGCAAGCAGCTGTGTGGTGCTTAGCTGCCGGCTGGGGCAAAACCATGACAGTGATGTAAATAGATGACTAAATGCCTGTGTAATTTTTTTGAAGACAAACTGCAATAAAAACCAGTGCAAAAAATCACACTGCAAATATTTCTGTTCAGGAATCCAAATTTAACAGCATTGAGGGTGTTGGTTTTTGATCTTCATATGCCTTATTTCTGTCTAATTATCTCCTTTACCTTACAAGGGTGCTGTGAAGATTATTTTATTAATATCGTCAAACCAAAATATGATAGTGGTAGTTACTTTAGAAAGACATTAAAAAGTTAATACTTCCATATTCAATTTGGAAGATATAAATAGAGCATTAGGAGTATGCATTAAAAGCTGAAAATAAAGGAACATTAAACAGTTGCATGGTTTCTTGAACACCGACTCTACCAGGTACCAAGTGCCACATAAGAAGTAAAGCATGTTGCTACATAATTAAGCAAAAAATGTGCACAGCACAGCCAAATCCAAGTTGCTTTTGTAATCTTAACTTTAGCATTTATCAGTTTATGGAATAGGGCTACAAATGAGCAATGCTCTTTTAATGTTTTAAACATGATTGTAATTTCATAAGGGGCATAAATAGCACCATTTGAGTGTTAAAATGAGGTTTATGACTGATCAAGGAAAGTATCATGACTTATGTTGAATTTTTTCAGTGGTGGTTGGCTGAGATACATTCTTCAGGTGAATCAAAATAAGCCATAGGGCTAAGAGATTCAGGGTTTCAACCTCAGAAATAAAGAATCAGAATTGCCCATTTCCCAAATTAATTAGTCTGTCTACTAAACCTACACTTCATTCATGAGACAAAACTTTGAAGATAGACCAAAGCCTGAAAATGAGCTGTGTTGGGTGGGGAGGAGGGCAGGATGGGAATGTAACACTTGTTACCACAATCACAAAATGGAAATCTCTGCTATTTCTTTACACTTTCTGTGTAGTAGCTTGTTCTTCCTAATTAATAATGATGAGGCACGTGGACAACACTGAAGGCAGTTCCATTCGCACCGAGTAATGCTGAGAACTGCTGTAAAATCCAGCAAAATCAGAGCTAGAGAGGGACAGCTACACTGAGCAGGACCTCAGTAACCAAGCCTACAGATTTAACCACGGTCACTCCTGCTTTCACTACAAGCCAGCCACAAAAACAAACCAGAAACTGTAAGGCATTAGAGGAAGGAAAAAGAGAAAAACAGCTAAAACAAGAAAAGCAATGCAATAAAGCCTCTTTCCACATATCACTGAGAGTTTGGCAAAAGAATACAGACTGTACACGCAAGATGGTTTGAGCTAACAGCCTTGGTCTGGTGATGTGATTTAAGGAAACTCAGCACCATTAACCAATAGGTGCATTAATTCATACTCTGTCCAAAACATTGCTAACTTGGAAAAGGCATAAAAAGAAATTATAACAATGAACTGAAACCCATCAGTCTATTTAAGCTGGGTTCTAATAGCATGGTCCCCAACATGAGCAGACGAAAGCATGTTCAAAGATGCAATTAAAAGCAGTCACATCTTTCTTCCTTTTTCACGCAAGGGTTTTTGTGCAGCGATACATTTAAGATCTTGCCATCTATCTCTGCGGACTCTAGCCTTTATTCAAACTTAAGGCAAGCAGGAACAATGGCTTGTACTATAGCAGCTGACCAAAACCACTGGTAAAACTCATTTTGACTTCAGATAGAAGCAAAAAGTCACATTAAAGAGACTACCAAGAAGCTTTAAAAACAAACAAAAATGGGTGTGAACAGAACCACTCAATTTGAACAGGCTACATCTTAATCTTAGTTTGCACTACTTCTCCATAACACTGTGACTCCAATAGTGTGTAACTTATATTTACTGACATACATATAAAATGAGTACAAAATGATATATGCACTTGAGGGAATTCTAACTTCAAGCACTCCTCTAACTCCTTGACACAGAATAAATTGCAACAGCACAAAAAGTAGCAGCATGACTAAGCTTCAAACAGTTTCCTCACTGAAGACAAAAAAGAAATCACTTCTCTTGGCTGTACCTCACTACTCGCTCACTCTGGCTTCTCCGACACCAGGTACTCCTATGGTCAGTGCACGAGGAGGACCCTGGCAGAGATGCACACCCTTTGGCAGTCTCTATTTCCTCCATTTTTATGAAATGCGTTTCAAATGGAAGTCATCCTCACTATCAAGGTAAGCGTACTATCTGTCCTATTGACAGCTAACACGTGTCCATCCTTGCGCCCACTGGGCACATGAAATAGGCAGCCTGCAAGCTCCATGGTCAGAAGCAGGATTTTACCCCCTCTGGCAGCTGCCAAAACTTATTTACTGGTAAGCCTCGGAAGGAAATCATCATAAGGACCTCATAAAATAAAAGATCAAAATACTAGGAATGCTATCCATGAGAAAATTATTGTTTAAAAGCAAAAGAGAAAAGGAAAAGCAAAATAAGCTGCAATAAAGAAAAGCAATAGGAAACAAAAACTTCAACAGGAAATGGACGGAAACAGAGTGGAAAGGGAACTGAGGAAAAAGACCGACAGCACAAAAGAAACAGACACATCTTCATATATTCATGACTATACCAAATAGATCAATCTTTTCAGCTCTTAATATAGCCTATACAGTGTATATAGTATATACATAGGTACTAGCAAAATTTAAGGTGGAGATTGTATGCTTTCCTGGCAAACACATTAATTTTACATCCCTATGGTCTAAATTGTGTTTACTAAACAATATTATAAAATTGGACCAGTGAAGAAACAAATAGTGAATCATACCAGTTAAAGACAGAAAACAATAAAAATCCCTTTATGGAAAAAAAAAATCATTTTAGCATAAAAATTACGTTGAAGTAAAACACAGTGTTATCTAACTGTATTTATCCAAAATACACAATACTGCTATCTGGTATTTGGTTGAGTTTGGACAAGTTCTATATTTCAGAATATTTATAACATAGAATATTCAGTCTGCATTTTGGAACAACATGAATAAGAGAGATGGGCAGACAGATGGAAATCTAGAAAGGCAGAGAAGAGGGGAGAGAAAGGGAAAATGACATAGTAAGAAAAAAAAAGAATATTTGTAAAGCTAACAATAGCGAGAAGAGGAAAGTAAGGCACTATGGTCTAGTTTTGCAACGATTCAAAATCCATAGGGTTCTTAGATTAAAAAAAAGAACAACAAACCAAACATTAACATTAAAATATTCGTGCACATCTCCCCACTGAAGCTGAAAATAAGAGAGAGATGGGCAGAGAGACAAGGAGAGGGAGAGAGAGATACACGCTCACACTCTAAGACACATTTCTTGGACCTCATATAGGCAAAGGTTCTATAAAAAGCAATAATGATCTTGTCTGTACAAGGTCTTAGAATCTAGTCCAGTACACAAGTGGGCATGAGAGATGGACACACTGAGGGAAGAAAAGAAGCAAGGAACAGCGAGGGGGGAATCACTTGGAAAACAAGCAGAGAAATACACCTCAAAATGGATTAAACAATTATGTTTCTCAATTCTAAAAAAAAATAAAAACGAATAAAACAATAAAAGATGATTATGCTATCTGTTGATGAAATGTGTTGAAAATGACAGCCGTGCATTAACAGATAAAACAGGGACCTAACGAAAGTAAAGAAGAAACCTCAAATCCCTTAATTCTTATAGCCTAATTCCAACATTTTTGAGGAAACTAAGAGTTTATTTACATATGCATAATAAGAAGATAAATCTTTTATATTAAAAATGCTTAAAATAGACCTCAAGATCACACAGAAATATGTTACTTAAATATGTCATTATCGTTAATATAAACAAAATACAAATGTTCTCTGCTAAACAGAAAATTAAAAATCAACTGTTTCTAGAGTAAGAATAGGTTTGCTTAATTATCATTTGCAGCTGAAGTTATCAAACATATATATGCTCATTGAAGGAAAATATGTGGCAGAATCATAGGAAAAGAGTACCAAAGCAGCGGCCTTTCAAGACCATTTTGTTTGGAATATCTTTGAAAACTGCCACTGGTGCAGTCCCTACACTGGCAGAACAGCTCTTAAAATCATTGGAACTCTTGCTGGTATAGGGACTGTAGGATCTGTAGCCCCAATTCAGCAGGGTACTTCAGCACGTTTTTTTAAGCAGGGCTTTAATAGTTAGACACACTTATGTACTTTGCTGAATCAGGGCCTGTATGATCAGGTTTTTTCAAGGAAATTTTGTTTCCATCTCTTTTTTTTTCATTATTTATTTGATGATAAGAAATTTATGTTAAATACATAGCTTTTATAAAAAAAAATATTTTTAATGTAATTGTACCATTTTTACAAAATTACCAAAAGACAACCATTGGCCTAAATATGTCCCCCCAGAGGTCCATCGGCACTTGCGCCTTGCCCTCAGAGGGAATACATTTAGGCCAACGTCCTGCACGAGCCGTGCTAGCGGTCATTAGGCTTCGAATGGACACAACCCTCCTCCTTTCGACAAAACACATTCAGAAACCCTCCAAAGGCATTAACACCGTGTCTGCGCGTACACACTCGAGCGATGCAAGCTGCGTGTGCGATTAAGACATTCCCCTGGGGCAGTCACTTACTAGAATTACTGCTGTCATCCTTGGTTCCATCGAGACTTCCATCGGGGTGCATTTGCAAGTAGTAGCCTTGCCTGCAATATAACCTGGTCACTATACCCTTGAGCTGGGGATCTGAAAGACAAACATATTTTGTCACTAGCCTCAAAACTTTTTCCAAGAGTTATCCCTACTTCTCTCACTGTAGGAGGAAGTTTGGTGAAGCAGCATTGCCGTCTTAAAAGTAAGTACTACAACAGGATGGGTCCTGATGGAGATGGAGCAAAATATCGCCGCAGAGTATCATTAGGCCAGTCGCGTGTCCTGTTCTCTGCCTCCAACATCCTTCATTATAATTAACAGAGGTAAAACACAGGAAAAAAGAATACCCCAAACACACATAGTCAAAAGACTTAAACCAGATTAAGCCCTGCAAAAAATTTTAGACGTCAGCAACAAGTATAGAGCCTTACTGAAACTAACAAAACATTCAAAACCCCCACTCATTTCATATATGTTAGTAAGTTACTATACTTCACATAAGTTTTAAGGACACTTGCACAAAAAGATCTGTCTCCTTTCACTCTGTACCAAAAGTGATGAACTCATCTGGTATAATATTTTCTAACAGTCCCATCTGAAGAGTTCCCAAAATATTTTACCAATCTAGAATTGGATTCAATTCACCTGCCCTCTCCCACCCCCCAGGGAATACCCACAGCCAGGACAAGACATAACCCTCCTTCAACAGAGGAAAAAACCTGAAAAAACTCTTAGTAAGCTAAAAGCATATGGGATAATCAGGTAGCTGAACAGTTAACCTACCCTGTTTAATACTCTGCATTTATGAAAATTGCCAAGAATTGGACAGGGGCTGCCAAGCCACAACTTTATGATTCATCTCAAGGATGGTGCTTTACCAAATCACACATTAAGCTGCTGCAGAACTGGTTCAGTGCTGAGGAAGATGACATCGGATCTTAAAAAAATCAACAGCACTACCCCTGCGTGATAGTGGCATTAATATTGTTAAATATAAACTATTAGGCCCAGCTCCAGGCAGTCAGTACATAAACTTGTGGGGACATTGGCATTAAAAGCATCTATGTCATATCATGCTTTGCTCTGCAATAATGAACTAAAATCATAAAGACTTTGAGACACATATGTAATAAAATGCACAGGTGAATTTCTAAATAAGACAGAAATTATTTCCATGCAACCCTGTGGGCAGAATATAAAATCATCCTTGAATTTGTGTATAATTGTTCTCACAATCAATCATGCTGGGTTATTTACAGTATCCTAAGGGGAGGTGAAAATAAACACTAATAAACAAAACTGCCTCTGAGTGGAATGCTCTGAAGTTTTCTATAGAGGCTCAGTTCCATGAAATGATTATGAAAATGGTAAGTTTTTCTTGAATATCCAAATTAGAGTCATATTAAACAATAAACACATCTAAATTAAAAATATAAGATTAAACTGCAAATATAATAGAAACTGTTACTATAAATATTAACACTGTAAGACTTTTGAGGCATGGAAATAAATAATATAAACATTTGATGATCAACATGTAAGCACATCATTACAACTTTTTTTTTTCTTTTAACTACAAATTTAGCTTTCCATGAATTTTTACATTAGCATAAGTTTCTCTGTCTTTATATAAGAATATTCAGAAACAAATATTTTTATATTTATATAAACAATGTACTGTCTCAATCAACTTTATCAGACAACTCAAAAATATTTTCGTAATTTAAAAATGAAAAGTGAGTTCCTCTTACACAGACACTATTCCTATCAATGCATGCTTTCAACGTGCACTTCCAAACTGATGATTTTAAACACACTTGCTTTACACATACTAAAATGGCATCTTAAAAGACTAAAGAAAAATATTAAAACAAAATTATTAAAACTAAAGCTTTAAAAAGTATTTGCAGGAAAATTATCAGTATTTTGAAAAACAAATACATGATTCTTTATCACCACTTCTAGCTCAAAGAAGTATCTCCTAGGAAGGCAAAGTACAGTCAACTCACTATCACCAGCTGTTTACACCTACTGCTTCAAGGGACAAATGTGAAAGTTAGAAGTGACTTTCAAAGTTGTTCTTTACACTCATTCTATTCATTTTTCTAAATTCACAAATAAAATCTAGTTTTGAACAAGAAATTGCACAGTCATTTGTCTATGGTTTCACCAAAAGCATTACTTGAAGTTAACTCTGCTTTACCAGCTATCCAAAATGATATCCGAATGAAAATAATTTGGTGGATAGCTATGCATTTCAGCTAGCATTTCAGGCTATGCATGAGACAGGGTATGAATCCCCCATTTATTTGTTCACTCAAGTCCAAACACAGTAGAATAATAACTATTATAGCATGAGACCAGAGGATCCTAGTCATGTGTTTTATCACACTTGTATACAGTTTTAATGGTTTCATTTGTCAGAAAACTGAACAAAACTGTCCTAAAACACGGCTCTTTCACTTCAATGTTTCACTGAAAACTGGAATTTACTACTAATAATAAGATACTAATTAATATTTTCATTGTTCAAAGTAGATCTCTGTAGACTAATAAATGGCAAAAAAAAAAAAAAAGTCTCTTTTTTCGCATGAAATGTAGCAACTGAAACTTTCTTTTTACTTTTTTCCTCTGGATTATTAGAACCTTTTTTACCCACTCTCCTAAGCATATCATTTCCACCTTAAGTTCCTATCTGTCCTTAGCAAGATTAAAACTTTTATTCCTGACAAGTAATTTAATCATGCATTTTTTACTAGTTTTTAATCGCAATATTTAGCTAATATATTTCACAACACTTTGGATGTACAACAACTAAATGTTTTAGCTGCACAGTGCTCAAAAATCTGGGGGAACTGGACAATGTGACATGGTATTTATTTGATCTTAGCCTAAAAGCAACCCAGATTTAGTGATGGAGTTGCATGAAATGACTCATTAATCTCAATGCAAGTCATAATAAGCAATAGTCAAAAAGACTACTCCATACAGCCTCAAGGTAAATATCTCCAAGATGAAGCAGACAATCATGTCAAGCAAGGAATTTATCTCTTTTCCTTGCAGAAAGATAAATGACTTTCAGGTCCTTTTTGAGACACCTGGGCAGCAAGCAGAGAAGAGAAATCCACTAGTACGTGTACTTCTATAGCATTTTATCTACCCACTGTCACTTAATAATATTACAGGAACAGTCTCAGCTTCCGATGCTTTACAAACGAGTTCCTCAAATCCTCCTTGACCATGCTTTTTTTTCTTTTTTTTGTTTAAATACTGTCTCCTAGAGCGCAGGAGTGACCAGCAATGCCCAGAAACACCAGCAGAAGACTGATGCTGCCTGTCTGCAGGTGCACTGGATACGTTATGGTTTTTAGTTCCCACCACAGAGATACCGGTAGACGGACCAGCAATTACCCTTACTCTTTACATCCTACGCACGCCTTTTTCTTCTCACGTGAAAGAGAAAGGGAATGGCAAGAGAATACAACAAAATAATAAAACACAAACGAACAGGATGAGAGTGGATGACCTCACTAAAGAATTTCCAGCTCTCATGATTTTGTTATAGATTTTTTGCTACTAGTTCTCTTAAACTCCTAGCCACCGCAGCCAAGTGAGTATGTGAAAAATACAATTTCTATTCAATTTTAAGCACCTTGACTTCAGCGGGGAAAAAACCCTAAACCAGCAAATGTCACTATGGATGAGAATCACAGGATGGTTCAAAATTTCCTAATGGTTTTTATTGATCTTATTTTGCACATTGACTTCTGATGTTGAATAGTTCAGCGTGACAAGTCTGCAGTGCCCCACCATGGAAAGCATTATTCTGACTTGTAGTTATTAGAGGTAGTTGCTAAAAATTCAAAGACGTTGTACTGAATGGACAAAGCAACAGCTTCTCGAGCCTCTTCCACAGCAACCTGCCTGACGGCAGCCACTTGCAGCCTGCTTTTGTTGCTTTTTTCCCCTTGTTAGTGATAATGGCAGGATGCATGATTGCAGTTAGCATGCACACTGTCAGTAGCTCTTCTGATGCCCTCAACAAAGGCAGAGTTTAATTAAGATGCCTTCTCTTCTCCCTCGAATACTGGCTACAAAAAAGTCTTTGGCATTAACTCCTGATAGGCTGAGTGTAGCTCTTGCTTTAGAACAATTATGACACTTTATGTTTTGCATTAAGAACATCTTCTGTTCACAAACAGAATGGTTTTAGCATCTCCTTCCCCATCCTCACAGGCTTCCAGGACAGATCTCTTTAGAAATGTTACGGGTTTAAAATAAACAGGGGACGAACTCTTTAATTACAGGTGTTAAGTCTTTCACCTTACTGTTCAGACATAGATGAATTTACAATGCTAAAAGAACAATGACAAATATAACCAGGAAAAATAAAATCCCTTAGCATCCACTGGAGTTTTAATTTTTACCAGAGGAAGGCTTTTTTGCCTGTCATTATTTACTTACTCTGTCTTTTGAGTAAAGGTACTAAATAAAAACCTGTTTGAGCTAGCAAGCAAATGCTTAATGGTGGATTAGTCCAATATCAAATCACAGTCTTATGGAAAAAAACCTGCACTACCCAGTCAATTACCATTCTGTCACAAAAGGAGTTGCTCAGCAAGTGAAATGAAAGCCAGTATTTGGAGGTACACTCTGCTCAGATAGCATAGTATCAAATTCATGTTAAAAACTGGTAGCTCCAGGTCCTTCACATTTTACTTGCCTTTTATTCTTTGCATTTGCCTCCTGCAGTTTTCACTTTTGAATATTTCAGCAGTAAAAATACTACTCATGCTGGTTCAGAATAAATCAAGCATCTTTTTTTTTAAGATTTCTGGTGCTCCAATAGTCAGTGTGACTTGAGTGTCATTTCTTGCACTCTGATGTTATGACGAACATCTGTTAGGAATCTTCTCCCACATCTATTAAACTTTATTTGAAATATCAAGACCATTTACAATTTGTATTACAATTAAAGAAACCCCAAAAACCCAAGAGCTGCAACCCCCAGATTTCTTGTGAAGCTGGGAAGCAACGCATCCACCCAAAGCACAGAGTGCCTCACCCACTCCAGACCCATCTCCCAGTTAT